CAGCCCCTCCCCACCCAGCCCCTCCCCACCCAGCCCCTCCCTGCACGACGGACGGGCACAATCATTCCCTGTGGGCTGGTGTAACCAGGAGTTCTTACCAGTATATCGTGCATTGCTGTGGATGGCAGAGGGGGTTCGTTGGGCAGTTATAGAGGGGCAGAGGGTAGTGCAAGTCCATTGTTGAATCGAGAGCTTAATTTATCACGAAATATTTTAGGGCCCTCTCGTAGACTGGAGCTGTGCCTATATCCACAGCGAGATGGTATACTGGATGTGGTGGTGTTGCCGGAAGCAAGATGTATTTTTGGCGGCCGTTGAGCCAGACAGACCCAGTTGCATTAGCCCTGGTTGTATTGTTTCTTCTATGGTCACAACACCACGGAGAATGTACTCTCAGCACTCTTGACCTCCGAGCCACTTGGCCACCTCTTGAGTGAATATTAAATGGCCGTTCGAACAGCTGCCGCAATTTTACAGAAAGACTCGAAGGGGACTCGGCAACACAGAAAGCCACTCTTTACATTTTTTAAACAATAGTTTTATTTGTATGACTTATTCGTTTGTAAGGCACTTTTGAGTTTAGTGTTGTCATACCAAAACCCCGTTAGTCATAAAAAAATCTACGTCAAACATGTAAAATTGCAACATTCAAGAAAGAAAAATAGAAGTGACTTTATATTCACCGGCAGTTCCATCAATGTGAAATGTACTTTGTAAAAAAAGCCTAAAGTGATTTCTTGCTCTCAAGCGAACATCACGGACCCAGTGTTCATCGTACAGCCGCACAGAGCAAAGTGGTTGAAAAATCCACATTGTTACAGTGGGGACGAGTCATCTCCACAGCACCGAACCCCTGTTGATCTTCTCGAAGGAGGGATGATGGGCAAAGTCAGCCACTCTTCCTCACCCCCCCACCCCACGATTGCGAGCCGCCTTGCTTCTCGCCGCCGAGCCGGTTACGGAAATGTACTTCGGCACCGTCAACAGCCGACACGTGAACATCGCTCAGCTTCGCAGAAATACTTTTATATATAACAGCTTATTGGCAGCAAGCAAGCGTCGTCCTAGGACTCCAGCAGAAACGTACTTTAGCACCGTGAAATCGCTATCATCTGCACCTGTCGTTGACTAAAACCCACGACTTACGTTTGCTACGATGTGAACCTTTCACAGAGCCTGGGAGCTCTTTGATAATACTGCTTTGGTGAGCGTCGGCGTTCCGGACTGCTTCTGCCGGAAAGAACGACCGCTAATAATTGTCCTTAAACCTATAGGCGGTAAACCGGGGAACTGTTTTCAGATTTGGTTACCGGTTCTAAAAATATGATATATCTGTCGCTGGCACCTGATTCTGGTGGGATTTTAGAAATGAATGCACCGGATTGGCACCCGCGAATGTACAGACGGCACAAGTCACCGCGTGGTACATTCGCCCTCCCCTTTCACGTCAAAGATAAAGGGGCAGCCCTTCAATTGCTTGCCCACGCTACTGCTGGCAGACGGCAGGCGGGTGTTTGGTCTACTCTTCCACGCAGACTGGAGGAGCATTCGAAGAGCAGACCGCTTAACATGCCCACACAACTCCGGGCTGCTAATGGGTCGTTCAAGTATAAAACCTCTGGAGTGCTCGGCCCATTGAATGCATCTCCAGACGTCTTGGAGGAGGTTGAAGCCGTCCCCAAACGGTATAAAAAAATTTTGTCCTTGGGCATTTTCACACGCGCGGGAAAACCGGTGACTTAAAACTTTCGTGCCATTACCGGCAATGCAATAAAAAAAAACGCATCAAACATGTTAACAACCCTACTAATAATACATATGGAGTGTTAATTTCTAAGGCAAATGTAGATTTTTTTTTAAACGTTAGCCTATTTATGGAATACACCGATTTATGGAAAACCGAATTCACCATCACCACCCACCGTGGTATGTTACGAGCCATTGGCGTTGGGAAGCAAGTCTCCCCACACACTGCACGTGCCTCATGCGTTACTAAACAGCACTGCTGATTTAGCACGTTGGACACGTGTACAACACACACACAGACCCGGCCAGCAGTGTAAATTGTAACTGCACGTGACAAGGGTCTCTTCCCCCCCTCCCCGTTTTAACCCATCGGACCACTGGGGCAAGCCCTGTTTGCGAGCACCCTATTAACGGGCTTGGCACGGCACGCAGGTAGGTGTGGCGGTGTGGTCGGCGCCACGCTGGGTGGTATTTGGTGTTCTCCGCGAGTACAGCTCAGTTCGACCGAGAGGGAGAACCAGGAGCGGTGCTTTGGGTATTCGTCACCGACGCAGGCGGCCGGCTGGAATGTCAATTTCGGGTTCGGCGGGTCCGTGACGCAAAGCCGTTCACGGCCTCGCCACCGTCAAAGGACGGTCCTCTACCTTCTTGGTCTTTCGGTAAAGTCACGTAGAATGGAAACAATAACAAGTAAACCCGTAAAAACAAAGTTTTCACTATAAATCCTTTATATGCATGGCATCGGGGCGGCTAGAGTCCTCTCGTCCCTCTGGCTTGAGATGGCTGCCACCTATGGGTCAGATGATTGTCTGGCAGCATTAAACAATTGGTAATTAAATATTTTAAAATTTTTCACTTAAATGCATTGTCACACACGAGTCTGTGTGCAAAATGTCAGCTCGATTGGATCACGGGAAGTGGGTTAAAAAAACGACCGAAAGATTTGCAACGGTCCTAAGCAAGCAAGCGAACTTAATATAAAGGATTTAAAAATAAGCGTCTCCCCGACAGACCTGGTCTTCACCTGATGACGGCTGCTTGCGTTGTGGCCCGAAACGTCGTGAGAATAATTTTATTATGTTTTATTTTATTATTTTTATTGTTTCCATTCTACGTGACTTTACCGAAGAACCAAGAAGATGAATCCCTGCAGTCACGAAAGCTTTAAATCGAAATTTGACGGTCTCTACGTTTAACTTCCTTCCCCACCGTACGTAGCCAGCCGTGCCAGTCGCAGGTGCGGGGTAGGGACTACAAACGAAACGCGCGCGGGATGCATTTTGCATGCGCGCTGTTCGACCACTTTCATTTGCGTGAAGGTCGATGGGGGTCACCTGCGTTGTAGAGGTGTACCAGGGTGGGTGTGTAGACTGGGGGGGGGGGGGGGGGGGCCCTTAGTCGACCGCAGTGGTTTTGCTTCGTCTCACCCAACATCGCCACCTGGCGACCGGGGGCAGACAGCTGCTGCTCGTGTACGGGATTGCAGTGTGATCATTACGCCTTCATCACGGGGTCCTCCTTTGCCAGTCTTACATTACGATAATAGGTTTTTAACCCTTTTCTGGCAATACTAAAACGGGTGTTAAGATGTTAAAACACCAAACTGAAACCGTTGCGAGGAATCATGTCTGCATGTTCAGCACACATACTTGTGGTGAACATGCAAACAAAAACATGCTCTGACAGTATATGGTGCATCGTCTTTTAAACTGATTGGTCCACACCAGAGACAGCTTTCTTAAGAGCCTCGTCTCACTAACAGTGTTAGACCAGAGGACGCCACAAGGCAACCAGCACAAGGACAACGCACTATCAGGACATTGAGAGATCCGTGTGAGCAGCTACATCATGGGACCCCCTTTGCCAGAAAAGGGAAAAACCTATTATCATAATGCAACCTTTTAGCGTCATCTGGTCCAACACCATGTGAGACGAGGCTCTAAGAAAAGCTGTCTCGGGTGTGGACCAATCAATTTCAAGGACAGTGCATATCATTATCAGAGTTATGTTTTTTGTTTGCATTCCGACCGCAGGTATTGTGGTCAATGCAAACATGACTCCTTGTAAAAAAAGGTGTCAGTTTTGTTGCCAGATAAAAGGGTAAAAAAGCAATTATCATATTTTGCTACTGGCAAAGGAGGTTCAAATGGTGTAAAACCTATCATCAATAACGCCTTCTTTGCTCGGGAAAGCCTCAGCAACTCACGAGTTCTCTCAAGTCTCATGTTCACGTGGGTCCTGTCAGGTGTTTCGTTGCCGGGGCACCGGGGCGGGGGTTGGGTGCGATGATGTTGCTGCTGTGTATAATCCCAACTGAGTAATAAGCAGGTAATTTTTTCGGGCATTGGGATATTTGACCGATGCGGGTTACGTTGTACGTTTAGCGACAGGAGGAAACCCATGCAGAATGGAGAGAACATGCCAACTCCACTCACACAAAGTTCAACTGACTGTTGGGGCAAGCGCTGTTGGGGCAAACGAATATCACCTATGAAGACCGGCACCACGGCACACGAAGTGGTGGGTGGCCAGCACTACGCCCGGCCACGATTGTCTCCCGAGTGGGGAGGCCCAGGACCGATTCAGATAATCGTCACCGGTGTTGCCGCGAGTGGGAATCCAACCCCCGGTCGCTGGGTTCGTAGCGCTGCACCACCGCTCCCCACGCGGGCCGTGAGGGATATTTAACCGTACTTCTCAGCAGCTGGCCGCTGTTTCGGGCAGTGGGCCAATTTCAGATTTTGAGTAGAATTCTGTATCACGGAGAGGAGGTGTAGTGCCCTCAGCGCCCACAGGCCTGGCCAAATCACTCGCCCACTTAATCACTCGCCGAGTTGCTCACCCATCCACTCGCTCAATCACTTTCTCACTCGGTTACAGACCCACTCGGCCACTCACCTCCACTCACTAACTCATCCCCACCCGCTCGCACCTCACTCCACTCACGCACTCGCCCCAACAACAACAACCGCCATTCGCCGCTAAGTGGCCGTGACGTCAACACGGCGCTTGCACCAGGCCAGGTGCACTTTAAGGCCGCTTAAGTCTCGAACGCCCGCTGGCAGGAGGTCACGGTACAGACCCAGGGACCATTGGTCGACCGCCTTAGATGACTGCCGATGCAACCACCTGTGCCCCCTGACTATGCCAACTCACCCAACCACTCACAGCACACACTTGCCCACAATCCACCCGCTCGCCTGCCCGCCCACATCGCCCACCACCTCGCTCGCGATCTCTCCGCCCTCACCGCGTCACAGCTCGTCGTGCCGGTAGGTGAACTCGCGAGCTGATATGAAGCCGTCCTCATCCTCGTCCTCCTTGGTGAAGATGTCTTCGACGAGGCCCTGGTACGACTCGTTGTGGTTCACACCCGGACTTGGAGAACTCCTTGCGGAGGTACTCCTCCACCTGGCGGGGCACAGCGACGTCCAGCAGCATCAGCGGCAGCATCAGCGGCAGCATCATCAGTAGCATCAGCGACAGCATCAGCGACAGGATCATTATCAGTGGCATCATCATCAACATCACCGCCGTTAGTATCGGCATCGTGATTAGACTCCGTAAGGTCAACATCATCGGCAGCCACATTGGTATCTTCAACATCGTTTTTTAGCATCGGCGCGATCGTTAGTATCGGCAACAGCTTCGGCGTCATCAACATCAGCAGCAGCAACTTTATCGGTAACAGCACATTCCTGCGGAGGGAGCTGCTAGGAACGTTGAGTTGCTCGGTCAATGGCCAGGGTCAACGGCGGCGTGGTGTATTCCGCAAATATGGTCGACTGTGAGGGCGGGCACAAGCCGGTGTGAGTAGGTTAAACGTTGAGTTTTATAAGGGCACCACGGGGTGACCAGCCCCTCCCCACCCAGCCCCTCCCTGCACGACGGACAGACGAACACAATAATCCCCTGTGGGCTGGTGTAACCAGGAGTTTCCTCCCAGTAGTATCTCTGGTCATAGCATCAACAGCCATCAGCAGCAGCATCGGCAGTACCACCGGGTGCCTCAATGTTCAGGGATTTGACTTCACTGGGATTCATCAGCATGGCAAGCGCTCACGAACCAATGCGACGTGCCTGCCCTCTTGTCAGTCAGCAGGGCAAGGCCCGCGTAGCAGCAGCAGCGCCGTTATCGTCATCGCTGTAATTGTCGTCGTCGCTGTAATTGTCGTCGTCATCGTCGTCAGTGTCGTGATCTTTGTCCTGGCGAGACCTCGATGCGCGACAGCTTCCAGTCGTCGTCGAGGTCCATCTCCTGGAAGGACTCGTGGGAGCGGGGGCCGTTCCGGATCTCGTGCAGCTCCATGTCGAAGATGAGCGTCGCGTCCGCGGGATTCGCCCTGCCGCCGCATAGTCATCATCATCATCATCCTGTCATTATCTGTTTTGTCGTTGTCGTCGTCGTCGTCGTCCATCGTCACCTTCATCGTTATCGTCATTGTCACCATTGTCGTTATCACAATCGCCACTGATAATGTAGTTACTACGTCACTGATAATGTAGTCTCTACGTCACTGATAATGTAGTCACTACGCCACTGATGATGTAGTTACTACACCACTGATAATGACGTTACTACGCCGCTGACGGTAGTGGAGCGTGTAGTCCTAGTCGTGGTGGTGAGCACGTGGTAGTGAGCACGTGGTAGTGAGCACGTGGTGGTGAACACGTGGTGGGGAGCGCGTGGTGGTGAGCGCGTGGTGGTGAGCACGTGGTGGTGAACACATGGTGGTGAGCACGTGGTAGTGAGCACGTGGTGGTGAGCACGTGGTAGTGAGCACGTGGTGGTGAGCACGTGGTGGTGAACACGTGGTGGGGAGCGCGTGGTGGTGAGCGCGTGGTGGTGAGCACGTGGTGGTGAGCACGTGGTGGTGAGCACGTGGTGGTGAGCACGTGGTAGTGAGCGCGTGGTGGTGAGCGCGTGGTGGTGAGCACGTGGTGGTGAGCGCGTGGTGGTGAGCGCGTGGTGGTGAGCGCGTGGTGGTGAACACGTGGTGGTGAGCGCGTGGTGGTGAGCGCGTGGTGGTGAGCACGTGGTGGTGAGCGCGTGGTGGTGAGCGCGTGGTGGTGAGCGCGTGGTGGTGAGCGCGTGGTGGTGAGCGCGTGGTGGGGGCCCCTCACCCTTGCCCTCCTTGCCGTAGGCGAGGGTGGGCGGCACGGTGAGGCGCCGCTTCTCGCCCACACACATGCCCACGAGGCCGCGGTCCCAGCCCCGGATCACCTCGCCCACCCCCAGCGTCACCCACACCGGGTGGCCATTGTTGTGCTCGTCACTGTGATGGGAGGAGGTGGCGGAAGGGGCGGAGGCACATCGACCACATCGTCGTCATCATCGCCACAACCATGCCATCACCATCATCATCGCCAAGGCCATCACCATCATCATCGTCACAAGCATGCCAAAACAATCAATCACATCATCGTTATTTAGTATTTATACCGCACCTTCCGCAGTACTCACCTGCTCACAGCCCTTCCTTCACCCAACCTCCCCTCTATCCATCTCCTCATCTTCTTCCCTCGCCGCACCTCTCCAGCTACCCTCACTTCACCACTCCCATCACTGTCACCTCACCCTCTGCGCCCTGCCCCACCTCACACATCCCCCACCTCCCCTCCCCTCCACCTCCCCTGCACCCTCCCTCCACCCTCCACCTCCCCTGCACCTCCCCTGCACCCTCCACCTCCCCTGCACCCTCCCCTGCACCTCCCCTGCACCCTCCCCTCCACCCTCCACCTCCCCTGCACCCTCCCCTGCACCTCCCCTGCACCCTCCCCTGCACCTCCCCTGCACCCTCCCCTCCACCCTCCACCTCCCCTGCACCCTCCCCTGCACCTCCCCTACACCCTCCCCTCCACCCTCCACCTCCCCCTCCCCTGCACCCTCCCCTGCACCTCCCCTGCACCTCCCCTGCACCTCCCCTGCACCCTCCACCTCCCCTGCACCCTCCCCTGCACCTCCCCTGCACCCTCCCCTGCACCTCCCCTGCACCCTCCCCTGCACCTCCCCTGCACCCTCCCCTGCACCTCCCCTGCACCCTCCCCTGCACCTCCCCTGCACCCTCCCCTCCACCCTCCACCTCCCCTGCACCCTCCCCTGCACCTCCCCTGCACCCTCCCCTGCACCCTCCACCTCCCCTGCACCCTCCCCTGCACCTCCCCTGCACCCTCCCCTGCACCTCCCCTGCACCCTCCCCTGCACCTCCCCTGCACCCTCCCCTCCACCCTCCACCTCCCCTGCACCCTCCCCTGCACCCTCCCCTGCACCTCCCCTGCACCCTCCCTGCACCTCCCCTGCACCCTCCCCTCCACCCTCCCCTGCACCTCCCCTGCACCCTCCCCTGCACCTCCCCTGCACCCTCCCCTGCACCTCCCCTGCACCCTCCCCTGCACCTCCCCTGCACCCTCCCCTCCACCCTCCACCTCCCCTGCACCCTCCCCTGCACCTCCCCTGCACCCTCCCCTGCACCCTCCACCTCCCCTGCACCCTCCCCTGCACCTCCCCTGCACCCTCCCCTGCACCTCCCCTGCACCCTCCCCTGCACCTCCCCTGCACCCTCCCCTCCACCCTCCACCTCCCCTGCACCCTCCCCTGCACCCTCCCCTGCACCTCCCCTGCACCCTCCCCTGCACCTCCCCTGCACCCTCCCCTCCACCCTCCCCTGCACCTCCCCTGCACCCTCCCCTGCACCTCCCCTGCACCTCCCCTGCACCCTCCCCTCCACCCTCCACCTCCCCTGCACCCTCCCCTCCACCCTCCCCTGCACCCTCCATCTCCCCTGCACCCTCCCCTGCACCCTCTCCTCCACCCTCTCCTCCACCTCCACTGCACCCTCCCCTGCACCCTCCCCTGCACCTCCCCTGCACCTCCCCTGCACCCTCCCCTCCACCTCCCCTGCCCTGCATCCTCCCCTGCCCTGCACCTCCCCTGCACCTCCACCCTGACCCCCCGTGCCCCGCGTGGCGGCTCACGTGGAGTGGAAGCGGGTCCCGTTCTCGAGGAAGCCGCGGTAGGACAGCGCCACGAGGTCGCCTCGCTTGCTCTTGCGGTGGCACAGGAATGGCCGGTGCGTCACCTCCACCTTCACCTCCGCCTCGGGGATCTTGGCGGCTGCCGTGGGTCGCGGCTCCAGCAGCAGGAGCAGCAGGGGCAGCAGCAGGGGCAGCAGCAGCAGGGGCAGCAGCAGTAGCGGCGGCGGAGAGCGAGCCGGGTTCATCGCAAGCTCGGGGCGCGAGAGGCGAGCGGGGAGCGCGGGCGATCGTCAGCCGGGGCGGCGTGCGTGGCACAAGGCGTGACGTCACGGGACGGGTGTGTGTGACGTCACGCGCGATTAGCATAATGTATTCAGATTCATTCGGGGACGTCCATAAATGACGTCACGCACCTGGGGGGTTTGAGAAATGTGACGTCACGCACCTGGGGGGTTTGTGAAATGTGACGTCACATCAATATAGACAACACGTTCTACTTAATTAAATTTACTTTTTAATAAATGTTTTCTCCTACAACATCAGAGTGCAGCGCCACATTAAATACGCACTACAATAGTTTAAAGCGATTTGAAGCATGTTTTATGTTTTTTTGCGGGGGGGGGGGGGGGGCAGAGCTTTGTGACGTCATATTTTAGGGGGGGCCGACTTTTTGTGGCGAGGGGGGGGGGGGGGTCAAAAATCGTCCAATATCGCGTGACGTCATTTATGGACGGCCCCTTAATCGGCAGCGTCGTGCATAACAATTTGCATAATCGCTCGAGTCGTCGTTGTGGAGTAAAATAAATAAGCCACAAATAAGCGGACAATGTGTGTATGTCTCCCACAAATATCTACGTATATATGTAAAACATATATGAAAGTACAGGACAGTATCTATCATTTGTGGGAGCCAGGTGGCTTCTGAAAAATAAGTGAATACATCAGTGGGGCTTTGCCTGGAGGGATGTGGATGGTTTCGTGTTGTATTTGTTTGTGTGATTTGTTGACCTCGCTTGTACTTTGCACTACGACGGTCTCGTGTGTTTGTACTGTTGTTGTTGTCACGTTCTCACCCCGGGCCCCCTACTGGACACCTGTGAATGAAAGAGCTTCATAGCTCATCGGATTCCTCCTGCAGACACTGACATTGTAAATGACATATTCTTGGTTCTTTCGGTAAAGTCACGTAGAAGGAAAATAATAAAATAATATAAATATAAAACAATAAAATTCTCACGACGTTTCGACTGCAACACAAGCAATCATCATCAGGTGTAAAATCCACAGCAAGAAAATGTTCTAGTGCTGCGGTCGAAACGTCGTGAGAATTGTTATTTTTTATATGTTTATTATTTTATTATTTCCCTTCTACGTGACTTTACTGAAAGAACCAAGAATATGAATCCCTGCAGTCACGAAAACTTAAAATCTAAATTGTAAATAACGTCAAGTTCTGCGTCGCGAAGATGATGTAACTCTAAGGAGTGCATGACGTCATAAAAAACCGACGAGGCGCGAGGTTGGGTATTTAAATAGCAGGATCGCTGGGGGGAGGCGACGGCTTGGCGAGGCCTTCATCCAGCAGTGGATTGACCACAACTGGGAATAAGATCGCTCCCCGCCTCTCATTAAATCCAATTGGGCCCTCTTCCCTTAGCAAGATGGCCGCCAAGACAGTGTTTGAGCCTCTCTATCAATATGGCCGCCGAGACACTGTGTGGCTTTCCGAGCAATGTGGCCACCGAGACACCGTGTATGGTCCTCTTCCCCGAGCAAGATGGCCGCCGAGACACCGTGTATAGTCCTCTTCCTCGAGCAAGATGGCCGCCGAGACACCGTGTATGGGCCTTTATTCCTTAGCAAGATGGCCGCCGATGCACTGTGGCTTCTTTCCCTAGGAAGATGGCCGCCGGGGCACCATATTTGGGCCTCTTCCCCGAGCAATATGGCCACCACAATGCATTAAAAGCCATCCACCTCTTCTCCTTACAAAGATGGCCGCCAGCGCGTCACGTGATACCTCACGTGACGGTTTGTGTACTTCCGCCTTCCACGTCGCCACGGTTTGCAATGGAGGGTGTGCTCTACAAATGGACCAACTACTACAACGGTACCGCGGATCCACTCCTCGGCTCCCCGCGCCCTCCCGCTCGCTTCTTGCTCCCGCGCCCGGGATCTTTTGCCTCTCTCCAGCGAGCGGCACGCCCCAGGGATGGTTGCCAAGTCGTGCCTCGGCGGCCCCGGCGCTCCGGGTCACTAGGCCTCTCGGGGTGTGGGTTGAGACCTCGGTCTCGCCTAGATCGTCCTGCCGGGCAGCTGCTGCCTTCCCCATCGGGCGAGGCGGCTCGGTCCCCCCCATCTCCTCCTGGAGTTTTTTTTAATAAGTGAAAACTTAAATTTAAAATGTTTCCCGCGCAAACTAGCGTGAGGGGGCGCTCGTCCCTTCCTCACAGGCGCACTTAGCCAGTGCTGGAAATTCTCCGTTCTCATGGCCGGGGCCAGTTTATCCACAGGACAATAATTTGATGTCCCATAACGAACGTGTGGTAACACAATCATTATGTGCGCGCCGGAACTGAGCTGAGCATCGTACAGAGAGAGGCCTTCCCCATTCATGCAGGAACGCAAAGTAATCTTGGCGTTATCGATTTAAGACGAGCAAACTCGGGACCACAAGGTGGCAGCAGCAGCAGCAGATGCGCTTTGAATTAAGAACCAGAAAGACCGTGCGGATGATGGGCTGTGTAAAGAAGCACTATTGTTTGTTTTACACGGAGAGAAATGATGTTGCGGAGACATCGCCAATCTGTTTTGTTCACATCCCACACAGCGACGCGAGTGATGATGTCTTAATACCACGCTGTACGCGCCTCTAATCCGTTGGCCATAGCAACCGTACATACAGAGGACCGCAGAGCTTGCGGTCGAACGTTCGCTTGTCCGCGGCCGCCTCCTCGCGGCTCCCGAAGTCATTGTGGATAGCTCAGGAAATAGAGCTTCACAGCTCACCGGATTTCTTCCAGTCAAAATGCGGATTGTCTAAAGATGAAAATGCGCGGAGGCGCGCCATAAGCGATTGAAACAATTACGAATGTTGGAAGCCATCCATCTGATCTGTGCCCCATGTGTGTGCGCGCGCGTGTGTGTGCGCTTGTGTCGTGTGTGTTCGTGTGCGTGTGTGTGTGCGTGTGTTCGTGCGTGTGTGTGCGTGTGTTCGTGTGTGTGTTCGTGTGTATGTGCGTGTGTTCGTGCGTGTGTGTGCGCGTGTCGTGTGTGCTGGTGTCGCGTGTGTGTGTGTGCTCGTGTGTGAGCGTGTGTGTGCTTGTGTCGCGTGTGTGTGTGTGTGCTGTGTGTGTGCTCGTGTGTGTGTGCTCATGTGTGTGTGTGCTGTGTGTGTGTGTGCCGTGTGTGTGTGTGTGTGCTGTGTGTGTGTTCATGTGTGTGTGTGTGAGCGTGTGTGCTGTGTGTGTGTTCATGTGTGTGCGCGTGTCGCGGCTGCAGGCTGGCAGCCGCGCTGGTTCGTGCTGGACGGCGGCGTGCTCTCCTACTACGACCACAAGGAGGACGTGCGCAAGGGCAGCAAGGGCAGCCTGAAGATGGCCGTGTGCGAGATCCAAGGTGGGGTGGGGGGGCGGGAGGGGGGGGTGGGGGACAGGGGGTGGGGTCGGGGGGTGGGGGACGGGGGTTGGAGGGCGGGTGGGGGGACGGGGGGTAGGTTGGGGGACGGGGGGGCGGGTGGGGGACGGCGGGGTGGGGGGCGGGTGGGTGGGGTGGGGTCTGGGGGTCAGGAGGGGTCACCCACCGGACGGACGACAGCTCCGCTCGTCTTTGAAACTCGTCGGTGTTTAGTTTAATAATAATAATTCTAATGTATCATTGCGCCATCCCGTCCCGGGATCCCAATGCGCAATGCATGAGAAGCAGGAAACAAAAAACAACCGGCCCAGACTAAAGAGGGAAGGCTCAGTTTAAAGAGCTGGGGTTTCAAAGCAGACTTGAATATATCGACCGACTCCGATCGCCTGATTTCAAGTGGTGAGGCGCGTTACATTGCCTGGGTGCCATGCTGACAAAAACCCGATACGCCAACCGAGACCTGGGGATCGCCGAGCACTTGCAGATCATGAGGTCTTAAGGACCTTGATGGAATATATACAGCGTGCTTCAAAAAAATGTGAACACTTCGGAGAATTTGCAACAATACCACGGAGAAATGTCCCTCCAGACACGTGTTGACAATGATGGCGAAAAAGTGAAGACTCTGACTTTTTGAAGCTATTAATGTACATTTTTACTGGTAGGAACCTCCTGGTTACACCAGCCCACAGGGGATTATTGTGTCCGTTGTGCAGGGAGGGGCTGGGTGGGAAGGGAGGGGCTGAGTGGGGAGGGGAGGGTGGGGAGGGGCTGGGTGGGGAGGGTGTGGGAGGGGAGGGTGGGAGGGGCTGGGTGAGGAGTGGCTGGTGGGGAGGGTAGGGAGGGGCTGGGTGGGGAGGATGGGGAGGATGGGACTGGGTGGGGAGGGGCTGGTCACCCCGTGGTGCCCTTATAAAACTCAACGTTTAACCTACTCACACCGGCTTGTGCCCGCCCTCACAGTCGACCATATTTGCGGAATACACCACGCCGCCGTTGACCCTGGCCATTGACCGAGCAACCCAACGTTCCTACTAGCTCCCTCCGCAGGAATGTGTTTATCATGTTAAAGTGTATGATCTGTTCTTTTTTCATTAAAAAGATAGTCCCATGTAAGTGTTAACACTTTTTCTAAGCACTCTGTAAATGTCTTAGTTCATACTCCTGTAAAGGACGAACGGACAAGATCCACTCTGCGCCTGAATGGACAATTGAGCGGATAGCAAATCTAAAATTACATCTTTAATCTGCTGCCATGAATCCATATGAAAGAATAAGATTAGCACAACATGCTTTCATCTGCAACTTATGCTTGTACAGTAAAGCTAACGCGCTTCGATGGTATTTGTGCGAATTGCGCTTCATAAATCTAGGTTTATTATTTTCACGTTATTTGTGATTGTCGTATGCATGTTGAAGTTCTTTCGCACCGTACGTAGCCAACCGTGCTAATCGGAAGTGCGGGGAAGAACTAATTATAATAATGATCAGTTTTATTATTTTTTCTACTCCTACTGCGCCTTGTGTTGTGCCGTTGATGTACGCGTGTGTTTGTACGTAGAAGTGGAGTCCCTTCTGTCAGCAGTGTTCTGACTGAGCAATTACGTTAGTAGCAAGAGCTCATTACCTACCCCCCACTTTGTTTTTTTTCTATCCACTGCTCGTTACCCCCCCCCCCCCCCGCGTGTGTCGCCGTGCCCCCCTCTACCACCCCGTACCCTCCCCCCCCGCCCCACAGTGTGCCCGAGCGATGACTCCCGCCTGGAGCTGGTGATCCCCGGCGAGCAGCACTTCTACTTGCGCACGACTAGCGCCGCGGAGAGGCAGGGCTGGGTGGTGGCGCTCGGCTCCGCCAAGGCCTGCCTCACCGACAGCCGCACGCGCAAAGAGAAAGGCGAGCGGCGCCCCCTCCTCCTCCCCCTCCTCCCCCTCCTCCCCCTCCCCCTACTCCTCCTCCTCCTCCCCCTCCTCCCCCTCCTCCTCCTCCTCCTCCTCCTCCTCCCCCTCCTCCCCCTCCCCCTCCTCCCCCTCCTCCCCCTCCCCCTCCTCCTCCTCCCCCTCCTCCTCCTCCTCCTCCCCCTCCCCCTCCTCCCCCTCCCCCTCCTCCTCCTCCTCCCCCTCCCCCTCCTCCCCCTCCCCCTCCCCCTCCCCTCCTCCTCCTCCCCCTCCTCCTCCTCCTCCTCCCCCTCCCCCTCCTCCCCCTCCTCCTCCTCCTCCTCCCCCTCCTCCCCCTCCTCCTCCTCCCCCTCTTCCCCCTCCTCCCCCTCCTCCTCCTCCTCCTCCTCCTCCCCCTCCTCCCCCTCCTCCCCCTCCTCCTCCTCCTCCTCCTCCCCCTCCTCCTCCTCCCCCTCCCCCTCCTCCCCCTCCCCCTCCTCCCCCTCCTCCTCCTCCTCCTCCCCCTCCTCCCCCTCCTCCCCCTCCTCCTCCTCCTCCTCCTCCCCCTCCTCCTCCTCCCCCTCCCCCTCCTCCCCCTCCCCCTCCTCCCCCTCCTCCTCCTCCCCCTCCTCCCCCTCCTCCTCCTCCTCCTCCTCCCCCTCCTCCCCCTCCTCCTCCTCCTCCCCCTCCTCCTCCTCCTCCTCCCCCTCCCCCTCCTCCCCCTCCCCCTCCTCCCCCTCCTCCTCCTCCCCCTCCTCCTTCGCTCGCATGGCCGCCCTCTGTCGCCGTCACTCATTCCTCAACACTCGTAACACGCCAGCGTTCACCCCCGCCCCCCCCCCCCCGTCAACCTGACAATTCTATCCTTTCAACTGGTACAAAAACTGGCACCTTTATACAAGGGGTCATGTTTGCAATAACCACAACACAAGCAGTCAAAATGCAAACAAAAAGAAACAACTCTGATAATGGTCAGTTTTTGTACCAGTTGAAAGGGTAAAAACCTATTACTATATTTTGCCACTGGTAAAGGAGGTCTCATCGTGTAAATTCTATCCTGTCATCGTTTTGTGAGCTGAACGTCAGGCGCCTTGCGTTAAGGCGCTCTATAAATATACGATCAGATTAGAAATTAGATCATGGCGCAATGATGCTACCGCAAGTCACAATTTCCTTTTTGTTGTTGTTGTGATGTTTCCAAGTTGGTCGTGATTGAGTTGTTGAGGAACAAGGAAGTGTCTGGGCACCACTGCTGTGTGTCTGGACACGCCCTTGACAGCGCAGCCCACTGCGCAATGAACAACCTGGCAACATTTGTGTTGATAAGAACCCTCTGCCACCTGACGCAGCCGAACGGAATTTTTCAATTGCCACGTGGTGTACGAGTGATTTGTTAGCATTTTGACTTCGCTTAATGTGGGGGGGGGGGGTTGTAGAGAGAGTCTCATGACCTTGCCACCGCACGCGATCGCTTGAGTTTGATCCCGACCCTGATGCCTGCTGTACGTTTGGAGGTTTGCGTGTCTCGCTCTCCCCGTGGTCGTGTGGGTTTTTCTCCGGGTCCTCCAGTTGTTTCCGCTCCACATTTAGAAGCAACGTCACGCGTTCAGAGTATTTGGCTGCTGCTATACATTTCCACATGATGATGATGATAAGCCCACTTCGTTGAGATAGCAATTGTGATGGCTTTGCCGCTTCTGAAAAAATATCTATATAGCTCAGTGGGCCTTGCCTAGTAAAATACAAAGTTGTTTAGTTAAATCTTCTTGGTTCTATCAGTAAAGTCACGTAGAAGGGAAATAATAAAACATTATAAAATAATTCTCACAACGCAAGCAGCCGTCCTCAGGTGAAGAACAGGTCTGTCGGAAAGACAGCGTCTGAATGGGCACCACCAGGCTTGGCAGCGTATATTTAAGCTGGGTTGGAGGGGGAAGGGGCGCCTTGACAAAGGAATTTGCATATCAAGAGGTTTCAAAGTCATATTATACCCGTGCATTATGCAGTATGCAGGATTAGCAGCAACAAAGGGAGCAGGTAGGGTTAGCAGTAATAGAGGGAAGGAATTTTAATAGTAAGGAGCTGCAGCAGCTAAACCACCACGTAAAAAACTAAAACCTAAACTACATCAGTATCATCAATATACTAAATATACTCTCCAATAAGCTGAGCTACTAACAGTAAGTCATACATTATAATTCTATGTCGCAAAAAATATAATATGCCTCCAGCTAATAATATAATAATATGGAGGCATATTATTATATTATTATACTTTAGTTAAAGTTATTAGAAATGTGGACGGTGCCGCTTGAATCTGCGCCAGGCTTCTTGTGGACAGCGAGGTCCAGGAAGTGCTTCCGCGACGATTTCGTTTGAGCTGTGGCGTGTGGTGGGAGCGCGTTCTTGCAACACGCATTTGTCCGGATTGTTACACGGCCTCACAGTTATGACCCGTGTAATATTGGCTTTGTGTTATTGTTGTTGCGAATTCGAGGACATCCTTTGCTGACCCGCCCATACTGGACATCCGTGACAAAATAGCTTTGTAGCTCATTTGATATCGCCAGTCTGCAGTAAACAATCTCATTCTGACGTCCGTTGGGTGTTTTTTTATTTTCTTCTGCACGCGCGAGCAGAAATCATGGAGGCGAGCGACTCGCTGTGCTCCAAGATGTCCGAGATGCGTCTCTACTATGACCTCATGACGCAGCAGGTGTCGCTCATCCGCCAGGGCATCCAGGAGCCACGGCCCGACGTGCAGGTGAGACGCGCCGTCACGGAAAACCGTCGTGCAAACGCACGCACACACGGACACAGATATCCCCGTATCGCCTTGAACACACTGTTGGGGCAGGTGCTGTTTAGCGAGTAGCACCTATGAAGGCCGGGATGGCACACGAGGGGGTGGGTTGGCCAGCACCACGCTCCGCCGCACCAGGTACTCATTTGAGGCCGAGTCGACCTAGGGGGGGGGGCCCAGGACCGGTTCAGACAATCCTCACTGGTGTTGACCGTGAGCGGGAATCGAACCCGGGTCGCCGGACGCACCCGGACGATGCTTTCCCAGTTGTCGGATAGCTTGTCCGTGCGGATTGCGTTTTGTGCGAACGCCGGGGGGAGTTTGCAACGTGCGTGGGGTGGGAAGGAAGCGCAAGCCAGACCCGGAACCCAGCGATTTCTCAAGCTCTGCATGTCCTTATGTTGGGATATTTGGCCAACTTTCTTCAATAGAGTTTGTACGTGTGGAAAGACTCGCCCGGAGAAAACCCACGGTGCCGGTGAGAGGGAGGTGCAGCACTCAATGTCCAACAGTGGCCCGGGGCTCAGTAGGTTTTTGGCCCACTCCATTATTGAGTGGTTATACATGTGCCAAGAAAACCCAGAGTGCCAGGAGAAATCCCATATATCCAGGAAGATTTAACACCGATCTAACGCTGTGTTGATACGTGTTGGAGGAAAACGGGAGTGTGTCCCAGAGAAAAACCACGACGCGCGCGAGGGGGCAACACGCTATCCCACACAGACGGAACAGGTGGGAGTCCACGTGCCGCTGGCGAGCCAGGCTGCTGTGTGCCGCGTGGATGGCAGCGTGTCTGCGCCATTGCTCTGTGCGTGGTAGAGGATGAGCGAGGCGTCGTCCCTGCTGAGCGCCACCTGCGACACGTTCGTGCGCGCCTTGGAGGAGTGCGTCCACACCGCGGCCAGCAGCGTGCGGCCCTCCACGCAGCAGCAGCAGCAGCAGCAGCAGCTGGCCCCGCCAGCCGTGATGTCGCCCACACCACGCAGCCCGCAGCGTCCAGCCAGGGTACGCGGGCACACGGGTACACGCTCGCCCCACCGCTCGTCCCACCGCTCGTCGCCATCGTCGCCCCCCTTGTGGGGTGGCGGTGGTGCAAGCGCAGTGGCGACGGTCGCGCATCACAGCAAGAAGGAACTGGGTTCGATTCCCGACTCGGGCGTTTCTTTGTGTGGAGTTTGTATGATCTCCCAGCTCTTCTACAGTGAGAGTGGAGTGATTGCAGTTTGTATGATCTCCCAACTCTTCTACAGTGAGAGTGAGTGAGTGTAGATGGTATGATCTCCCCCTGTTCTGCAGAGTGAGTGATTGGAGTTTGTATGATCTCCCAGCTCTTCTACAGTGAGAGTGGAGTGATTGGAGTTTGTATGATCTCCCAACTGTTCTACAGAGTGTGAGTGAGTGGAGTTTGTATGATTTCCCCCTGTTCTGCAGAGTGAGTGAGTGAGTGGAGTTTGTATGATCTCCCAACTGTTCTACAGAGTGTGAGTGAGTGGAGTTTGGTTGATTTCCCCCTGTTCTGCAGAGTGAGTGAGTGAGTGTAGTTTGTATGACCTCCCCCTGTTCTGCAGAGTGAGTGAGTGTAGTTTGTATGCTCTCACCCTGTTCTGCAGAGTGAGTGAGTGAGTGGAGTTTGTATGACCTCCCCCTGTTCTGCAGAGTGAGTGAGTGGAGTTTGTATGTTCTCTCCCTGTTCTGCATGAGTTTTCTCCGGATTCTCCGGTGTTCCCCATAGCTAATTACACACACAATATATCTATTGGCCAAAAAGCATCCCAATTCAGATTTTTTAAATGACCTGCAAATTACTCCATTAGGATCTCACGCACACAGCAACATCGCCCCCCCTCCCCCCCCCGCTGTGAAACGCAGCGGCGCCTTCCTGCGTGGTGATAGCCTTGCAGCGGCGCTCTGAGAACGCCAGCGCCCATACCCAACGTGTGCGGCTCGGTACACGAGTTGCCGCTCGGGGTGACGCGAAGCTCTGCTCCCCCTCCGTCTCGTTCGCAGGTCAAGAGTCAAGGTCGCACATCGCACACGGAGAGGTGAACAAGCACCGACACTCGCACCACCGCCCCTTCGTTCGCTCCGTTCACTCGTTCATTTACTCCGTTCACTCACTCATTCACTTTCTGTCTCGCTCGCTCGCTCGCTCGCTCGCTCTCGTCGCTCTCTCCCAGAGTCCATCTGTATGCATCCATCCGTGCGTCTATCCACCCTTGCGTCCACCCTTGCGTCCACCCTTGTGTCCCCAGCACCACGAGGTCCCTACCGAGACCGCCCCCGTCCTCCCGCAAGCGCGAGCCCAACAACAACAGCAACAAGAGCGGCAGAACCTCCTCGTCCTCCTCCTCGTCACGGCGGAGGCTGGCCATGGCGTCAACGCGAGTTGGGGCGATCGTGGAGGAGGTGGAGGAGGAGGCGGCGGCGGTGGAGGCCCCTGCAGCCGAGGGAGCGTCCCGGCCAGAGCCGACGGCCGCAGCAGCGCCCCGTGAACACGCATCTCAGGAGGCCGCGGCGAGTGGAGAGTCACGTGACGCAGACACGCCGCAGCAGGGCGCGTCACATGACGCGTCACATGACGCAGACACGCCGCAACAGGCCGTGTCACGTGACGCAGACATGCCGCAGCAGGCCGCGTCACGTGACGGGTCACATGACGCAGACACGCCGCAGCAGGCCGCGTCACATGACGCGTCACATGACGCAGACACACCGCAGCAGGCTACGTCACGTGACGCAGACACGCCGCAGCAGGCCACGTCACATGACGCGTCACGTGACGCAGACACGCCGCAACAGGCCGCGTCACATGACGCAGACACGCCGCAGCAGGCCGCGTCACATGACGCAGACACGCCAAACCAGACCACCACGCCACTTGAAGTGATCGCGGGGAGCGACGTGTGTCCGAGGTTCGAGACTTCGGACGTCGCCACACAGGAGTCGAGGAGACCCGCAGAACACCGACGGGACGGGGAAGACTCCACGGTCGACGGTGATGATCCTAATGCCGCTGCTGCCGATGATGCCGATGATGCCGATAGTATCAACGACGGTCATTTTGATGATGCTGATGATGGTAACGATGCTGACGATGGCGACGTGGGCACTGCTGGGCGTGGGGAGGAGGGCGGTGCGGGAGAGAACTCGGATGCCGGACACGTGGCCGATCGGGGATTCCATCCGGAGACACTGGGCGAGGGTGAGGACTGTTGGGGCGAGGGTGAGGACCCTGGGGTTGAGGGTGAGGACGCTGGTGGTGAGGGTGAGGACGGCGGGGGTGAGGACTCTGGGGGTGAGACGGTGGAGACCTTCTTCGGTGTCATGGCACAGAGGTGAGAGCGTCGCGGGTTGCTCCGCTGAGTGAGCGTGAGCACGCGGCTCGTTGACACGGCCAGCAACAAACAGCACTGCTATCGAGTTGTTGGCGCGTGTCTTGCATTGAGGTGGGCGGGGGTGAGTGAGCGGGTGAGCAGATAGGCGAGTTAGTGCATGGATGGACGGGTGAGCCGAGTTTGTGAGAGGGTGAGCGAGTGAGTGCTTGGGTGAGTGTGTGGGTGAGTGTGTGGGTGAGTGTGTGGGTGAGTGTGTGGGTGAGTGCGTGGGTGAGTGCGTGGGTGAGCGGGTGAGTCGTGGGTGAGTGAGTGAGTGAGTGCGAGGGTGAGCGAGTGAGTGCGAGGGTGAGCGAGTGAGTGCAAGGGTGAGTGCGTGGGTGAGTGCAAGGGTGAGTGCGTGGGTGACTGCGTGGGTGAGCGCGTGGGTGAGCGAGCGAGTGCTGTTGTGACCTGCAGTGTGGTGGTGATGGTGGTTGAACACCGTGTGGTGATGGGTGAAATGGAGCATCTTGGTGAACCTTTAACACCTGGGTCTGGCTTGTGACCCGCCAGTGAGGCATGCTTCACGCGATGGCCTCAAGGTGCATCTAGCCTGACACATGCGCCGTGGTGACGTCACTGCGTCCGTTGTTGTGGTAAATAGTGGAGTGGTGGTGCAGTGGTTAGTGCACTGTGCTACGAACCCGGTGACCCGAGGTTCGATTCCCAGTCCCGGCCAACATCGGCTGTGATTATCTGAACCGGTCCTGAGCCTCCCCTTGGTGGACTCAGCCTGAAATAAGTACAGGGACTCCTCTACTTACGAACAGTTCGGTTAACAAACTTTCTGAGTAACTTACAAACCTGTCTGGATGTCCAGTTGCCTGTTTGGACCGAGAGTCGTAAGTTCAACCGCCGCCCAATAGATGGCGGTGGTGGCATCTACATCTGTAGAACGTGGAGAACCAGTGGCATCTACATCTGCAGAACGTAAAGAACCGGTGGCATCTACATCTGCAGAACGTGAAGAACCAGTGGCATCTACATCTGCAGAACGTAAAGAACCGGTGGCATCTACATCTGCAGAACGTGAAGAACCAGTGGCATCTACATCTGCAGAACGTAAAGAACCGGTGGCATCTACATCTGCAGAACGTGAAGAACCAGTGGCATCTACATCTACAGAACATGAAGAACCAATGGCATCTACATCTGCAGAACGTGAAGAACCAGTGGCATCTACATCTGCAGAACGTAAAGAACCAGTGGCATCTACATCTGCAGAACGTGAAGAACCAGTGGCATCTACATCTGCAGAACGGGAAGAACCAGTGGCATCTACATCTGTAGAACGTGAAGAACCAGTGGCATCTACATCTGCAGAACGTAAAGAACCGGTGGCATCTACATCTGCAGAACGTGAAGAACCAGTGGCATCTACATCTACAGAACGTGAAGAACCAATGGCATCTACATCTGCAGAACGTGAAGAACCAGTGGCATCTACATCTGCAGAACGTAAAGAACCAGTGGTATCTACATCTGCAGAACGTGAAGAACCAGTGGCATCTACATCTGCAGAACGGGAAGAACCAGTGGCATCTACATCTGCAGAACGTGAAGAACCAGTGGCATCTACATCTGCAGAACGTGAAGAACCAGTGGCATCTACATCTACAGAACGTGAAGAACCAATGGCATCTACATCTGCAGAACGTGAAGAACCAGTGGCATCTACATCTGCAGAACGTAAAGAACCAGTGGCATCTACATCTGCAGAACGTGAAGAACCAGTGGCATCTACATCTGCAGAACGGGAAGAACCAGTGGCATCTACATCTGCAGAACGTGAAGAACCAGTGGCATCTACATCTGCAGAACGTGAAGAACCAGTGGCATCTACATCTGTAGAACGTGAAGAACCAGTGGCATCTACATCTGCAGAACGTGAAGAACCAGTGGCATCTACATCTGCAGAACGTAAAGAACCAGTGGCATCTACATCTGCAGAACGTGAAGAACCAGTGGCATCTACATCTGCAGAACGTGAAGAACCAGTGGCATCTACATCTGCAGAACGGGAAGAACCAGTGGCATCTACATCTGCAGAATGTGAAGAACCAGTGGCATATACATCTGCAGCACGTGAAGAACCAGTGGCATCTACATCTGCAGAACGTGAAGAACCAGTGGCATCTACATCTACAGAACGTAAAGAACCAGTGGCATCTTAATCTGCAGAACGTGAAGAACCAGTGGCATCTAGATCTGCAGCACATGACGAACCAGTGACATCTACACCCATAGGAAATGTTAAAGCTATTCCCCGTGTTTAGTGTACACGCCATACAACATCTTTGGAATCGACAGGAGTAAAGTTGAACTCGCGAACAAATCGACTTACGAACAGTACCTCCGTAACCGAAGTCGTTCGTAAGTAGCGGTGTGCGTATAAACATCGGCACCGGTGAGAGACAAAGGCGACCGGGCATCGTGCTGGCCACACCACCTGCTCGTGTGCCGTGCCGGCCCTCACAGGCGCTTCTCGGCGAACGCCGCTCGCCCCCAACGGTCGATCAAGCGGCTACACGGGGGACCTTTGTCTTTGTCTCTCGGCCCAGGTTCAGCGACGCGGAGCTGCAGGACGAGCAAGGGATCCACGTGGAGCCGTTCCTGAGGGCGTGCGCCTCCATCGTCCCCGTGCTCGGTAAGTCGCTGCTCGACACTCCCACCCAGGTGGATCACCATGGCCGTGTCGGAGACTCTGAACGCCTCGGGTTGTTTGGTTCCATCCCGGGGTCTGGGTGTTCCTCTTAGGGGGTTCAACTTGGCCGTGTCGGAGACTCTGAACCCCTAGGGGGCTTGGTTCAATCCCGCGGATCTGGGTGTTCCTCTTAGGGGGTTCAACTTGGCCGTGTCGGAGACTCTGAACCCCGAGGGGGCTTGGTTCAATCTCGGGGTCTGGGTGTTCTTCTTAGGGGGTTCAACATGGCCGTGTCAGAGACTCTGAACCCCGAGGGGGCTTGGTTCAATCTCGGGGTCTGGGTGTTCCTCATAGGGGGTTCAACATGGCCGTGTCGGAGACTCTGAACCCCGAGGGGGCTTGGTTCAATCTCGGGGTCTGGGTGTTCTTCTTAGGGGGTTCAACATGGCCGTGTCAGAGACTCTGAACCCCGAGGGGGCTTGGTTCAATCTCGGGGTCTGGGTGTTCCTCATAGGGGGTTCAACATGGCCGTGTCGGAGACTCTGAACGCCTCGGGTTGTTTGGTTCAATCTCGGGGTCTGGGTGTTCCTCTTAGGGGGTTCAACATGGCCGTGTCAGAGACTCTGAACCCCTAGGGGGCTTGGTTCAATCCCGGGGTCGAGGTGTTTCTGTTAGGGGTTTCAACATGGCCGTGTCGGAGACTGAGCTCTGAGCCAGCACCGCCGCTTCGACTCTTCAATTCACACCACGGGCCTCGTCACCTCTGCTTCTTGCCGGTCTGCTGGGCGGTTCATAATTGCCGACTCGTCGTGCAGTGCCCCACGTGCGACCCCTGACCCCTGCGCGTGCCTGCGTCGCCACTCCCCCCCTCCTCCCCCTCCTCCCCCTCCTCCCCAGACAAGCTGGGCCCCACGGCGTTCGCTCCGGTCAAGCTCGACTTCGTGGGCAACATCCGGGTGAGTGCCGCCCCCCCCCCCCCCCCACAGACCCCCCTGCCCATCACCCCCAACCCTGCCCATCGCTGGTGACCGCACGCGTGCCGTGGCGCCACAACGGGGTCTCAGGCTTTGTTGTCTCGGCCGGCAAGGCCTCCCGGTGAGCCGAGCGGCCCCCGTTACGAGGACGGCCACAGCCCAAGGCCATCGGTAGTGGCGGCCGTTTACAGGATGTGGCAGTTACACCGAGAGCCATAGAGTTACACAGAGATCCATAGAGTTACACAGAGATCCACAGAGTTACACAGAGATCCATAGAGTTACACAGAGATCCATAGAGTTACACAGAGATCCATAGAGTTACACAGAGATCCATAGAGTTACACAGAGATCCACAGAGTTACACAGAGATCCATAGAGTTACACAGAGATCCATAGAGTTACACAGAGATCCATAGAGTTACACAGAGATCCACAGAGTTACACAGAGATCCATAGAGTTACATAGAGACCCATAGAGTTATACGGAGAGCTATAGAGTTACACAGAGATCCATAGAGGTGCACGGTGATCCATAGAGTTACATAGATCCATAGAGTTACACAGAGATCCATAGAGTTACACAGAGATCCATAGATTTACACAGAGACCCATAGAGTTACACAGAGATCCATAGAGTTACACAGATCCATAGAGTTACACAGAGATCCATAGAGTTACACAGAGATCCATAGAGTTACACAGAGATCCATAGAGTTACACAGAGATCCATAGAGTTACACAGAGATCCATAGAGTTACACAGAGATCCATAGAGTTACACAGAGATCCATAGAGTTACACAGAGATCCATAGAGTTACACAGAGATACATAGAGTTACACAGAGACCCATAGAGTTACACAGAGATCCATGGAGTTAGACAGAGACCCATAGAGTTACACAGAGACCCATAGAGTTACACAGACACCCATAGAGTTACACAGACACCCATAGAGTTACATAGAGTTACACAGAGATCCATAGAGTTACACAGAGATCCATAGAGTTACACAGAGATCCATAGAGTTACACAGAGAACCATAGAGTTACACAGAGAACCATAGAGTTACACAGAGACCCATAGAGTTACACAGACACCCATAGAGTTACATAGAGATCCATAGAGTTACACAGAGATCCATAGAGTTACACAGAGATCCATAGAGTTACACAGAGATCCATAGAGTTACACAGAGATCCATAGAGTTACACAGAGAACCATAGAGTTACACAGAGACCCATAGAGTTACACAGACACCTATAGAGTTACATAGAGATCCATAGAGTTACACAGAGATCCATAGAGTTACAGAGATCCATAGAGTTACACAGAGATCCATAGAGTTACACAGAGATCCATAGAGTTACACAGAGATCCATAGAGTTACACAGAGATCCATAGAGTTACACAGAGACCCATAGAGTTACACAGACACCCATAGAGTTACACAGAGATCCATAGAGTTACACAGAGATCCATAGAGTTACACAGAGATCCATAGAGTTACACAGAGATCCATAGAGTTACACAGAGAACCATAGAGTTACACAGAGACCCATAGAGTTACACAGACACCCATAGAGTTACACAGAGATCCATAGAGTTACACAGAGATCCATAGAGTTACAGAGATCCATAGAGTTACACAGAGATCCATAGAGTTACACAGAGATCCATAGAGTTACACAGAGATCCATAGAGTTACACAGCGATCCATAGAGTTACACAGAGATCCATAGAGTTACACAGAGATCCATAGAGTTACACAGAGATCCATAGAGTTACAGAGATCCATAGAGTTACACAGAGATCCATAGAGTTACACACAGATCAATAGAGTTACACAGAGATCCATAGAGTTACACAGAGATGCATAGAGTTACACAGAGATCCATAGAGTTACACAGAGATCCATAGAGTTACACAGAGATCCATAGAGTTACACAGAGATCCATAGAGTTACACAGAGATCCATAGAGTTACACAGAGATCCATAGAGTTACACAGAGATGCATAGAGTTACACAGAGATCCATAGAGTTACACAGAGATCCATAGAGTTACATAGAGATCCATAGAGTTACACAGAGATCCATAGAGTTACACAGAGATCCATAGAGTTACACAGAGATCTATAGAGTTACACAGAGATCCATAGAGTTACACAGAGAACCATAGAGTTACACAGAGACCCATAGAGTTACACAGAGACCCATAGAGTTACACAGACACCCATAGAGTTACACAGAGATCCATAGAGTTACACAGAGATCCATAGAGTTACACAGAGATCCATAGAGTTACACAGAGATCCATAGAGTTACACAGAGATCCATAGAGTTACACAGAGATCCATAGAGTTACACAGAGATCCATAGAGTTACACAGAGACCCATAGAGTTACACAGACACCCATAGAGTTAAACAGAGATCCATAGAGTTACACAGAGATCCATAGAGTTACACAGAGATCCATAGAGTTACACAGAGATCCATAGAGTTACACAGAGAACCATAGAGTTACACAGAGACCCATAGAGTTACACAGACACCCATAGAGTTACACAGAGATCCATAGAGTTACACAGAGATCCATAGAGTTACACAGAGATCCATAGAGTTAACAGAGATCCATAGAGTTACACAGAGATCCATAGAGTTACACAGAGATCCATAGAGTTACACAGAGATCCATAGAGTTACACAGAGATCCATAGAGTTACACAGAGATCCATAGAGTTACACAGAGATCCATAGAGTTACACAGAGATCCATAGAGTTACAGAGATCCATAGAGATACACAGAGATCCATAGAGTTACACACAGATCAATAGAGTTACACAGAGATCCATAGAGTTACACAGAGGGCATAGAGTTACACAGAGATCCATAGAGTTACACAGAGATCCATAGAGTTACACAGAGATGCATAGAGTTACACAGAGATCCATAGAGTTACACGGAGATCCATAGAGTTACACGGAGATCCATAGAGTTATACGGAGATCCATAGAGTTACACAGAGATACATACTTACACAGAGATCCATAGAGTTACACAGTGATCCATAGAGTTACACAGAGATCCATAGAGCTACACAGAGATCCATAGAGTTACACAGAGATCCATAGAGTTACACGGAGATCTATAGAGTTACACAGAGATACATAGAGTTACACAGAGATCCATAGAGTCACACAGAGATCCATAGAGTTACACAGAGATCCACAGAGTTACACAGAGATCCATAGAGTTACACAGAGATCCACAGAGTTACACAGAGATCCATAGAGTTACACAGATCTATAGAGTTACACAGAGATCCATAGAGTTACACAGAGATCCATAGAGTTACACAGAGATCCATAGAGTTACACGGAGATCCATAGAGTTACACAGATCTATAGAGTTACACAGAGATCCATAGAGTTACACAGAGATCCATAGAGTTACACAGAGATCCATAGAGTTACACAGAGATCCATAGAGTTACACAGATATACATATTTACACAGAGATCCATAGAGTTACACAGAGATCCATAGAGTTACACAGAGATCCATAGAGTTACACAGATATACATAGTTACACAGATATCTTTCACGTTTACACAGAGATCCATAGTTTTAGCATGGTTATCACGGTTGGCTACGGTACGGTGTGAAAGAAGTTGAACATACGTACAATTCGGGAGACAAAAGTTTTGTGGGGCACGAGTCTGGCGGCAGTCGGGGGCGGCGGGGGTGGGGGTGGGGCGATGGTCGTGTGAGCAGGGTGAGAACTCGTGTGTTTGGTCGACAGAAAATCACGCAGAAGTACGAGACGGACCGGGCGGCCTTCCCCACGCTGCAGAGCATCGTGGGCCACGAGCTGAGCAGCGGCACCGCCCTGGTGCGCAACTCCACCACCGAGGCGCTGCTCTGGCTCAGGCGGTGAGCGGGGGGGAGGGGGAGCGTCGGTGAGGAGGGCGCGTGGGGAGGAGAGGGTTAGGGTGAGGGTTGAGTGGTTTGGGAGGAGGACTTTGGGGCGAGGCTGAGGGACGAGCAACAGGGTGAGTGTGTGGAGGGTGCGAGTGGCTGAGGGTGATGACGGGGGTGAGCGTGGGTGGTGGAGGAGAGGGTGATGATCCGCATGTGGGGGACGAGGTTGGTGTGAGGCGTGCGTGGTGAGAGGGTGAGCGCTTGGGAGAGAGAGGGTGAGGGTGATGACGGGGGTGAGCATGGGTGGTGGAGGAGAGGGTGATGATCCGCATGTGGGGGGCGAGGTTGGTGGGAGGCGTGTGCGTGGGTGAGAGGGTGAGCGCTTGGGAGAGAGAGGGTGAGTGTGCGTCACCGTGACGGCGTCGCTGGCGCGTCGCTCGCCGCTCTTCTCGGTTCGTTTGCCGCTGACCCCGCCGCGTTCCTCTCCTTTTCCGCCGCGTCCCCTCGGCCCAGGGGCCTCAAGTTCCTTCTGGAGCTGCTGACCGAGGTGCGGGAGGGCCAGGCCAACCTGCACGTGGCACTCAGTGAGTCGCTCGTGCTGTTCCTGTTCCTGTTGTTGTTGTAGTCGTTGTGGTGCGATTTAGTAGAAGTTCAAGTGACAACTTTACTTTGTGTAGCGAGGTGAGACACACGGGAGGGCAGGATTACGCTCGGTTGCAAGAGGGAGTGGGTGAGTGAGCGAGTGAATGAATGAGTGGGTGGGCGAGTGAGATGGTGGGTGAAGGAGTGAATGCGCGAGATAGTGAGTGAGTTGGCGAGAGAATGAGCGGGTGAGGAGTGAGTGAGCGAGATGGTGAGCGAGCGAATGGGTTAAAGTTTTCAAGTTGACACAACGGATTGCGGATTGACCCAGCGGATTTGGTGGAGGCAGGGTGACTACCTCTCTCCCCGTGCACACACAGGCAATGCGTACGGGCGGACTCTGAGGCGCTACCACGGCTGGGTGGTGCGGGGGGGTGTTCGCGGTGAGTGCCCCGGCGCCTCGGCGCCTCGCCTGACCCAGAACCCCGGGGGAAACCCAGTGCAGAGCAGGGAGAGAGAATGCCAACTCCACACTCGCACCCACTCACAGCAACAGCAACAACCGCCGTTCACCACTAAGTGGCGGTGAGGTCACCACGGCACTTGTGCCAGGCTATGTGCACGTTATGGCCACGTCAAGTGTCGAAGGCTCGCTGGCAGGAGGAGGTCACGGGACAGACGCAGGTGCCGTGAGTTGACTGACTGTGATGACAGGAGGTCACGGGACAGACCCAGGTGCCATGAGTTGACTGACTGAGGTGACAGGAGGTCACGGGACAGACCTAGGTGCCATGGGCTGACTGACTGAGATGAGAGGAGGTCACGGGACAGACCCAGGTGCCATGGGTTGACTAACTAAGATGACAGGAGGTCACGGGACAGACCCAGGTGCCATGGGTTGACTGACTGAGGTGACAGGAGGTCACGGGACAGACCCAGGTGCCATGGGTTGACTGACTGAGATGACAGGAGGTCATGGGACAGACCCAGGTGCCATGGGTTGACTGACTGAGGTGACATGAGGTCACGGGACAGACCCAGGTGCCATGGGTTGACTGACTGTGATGACAGGAGGTCACGGGACAGACCCAGGTGCCATGGGTTGACTGACTGTGATGACAGGAGGTCACGGGACAGTCCCAGGTGCCATGGGTTGACTGACTGTGATGACAGGAGGTCACGGGACAGACCCAGGTGCCATGAGTTGACTGACTGAGGTGACAGGAGGTCACGGGACAGACCCAGGTGCCATGGGTTGACTGACTGTGATGACGGGAGGTCTTGGGACAGACCCAGGTGCCATAGATTGACTGACTGTGATGACATGAGGTCACGGGACAGTCCCAGGTGCCATGGGTTGACTGACTAAGATGACATGAGGTCACGGGACAGACCCAGGTGCCATGGGTTGACTGACTAAGATGACATGAGGTCACGGGACAGACCCAGGTGCCATGAGTTGACTGACTGAGATGATAGGCAGATGCACCAGCCGTTGCCCCCGCTTGTACCAACCTGGATTTTAGCTGTCCAGCACCCCTGCTCGTTTCACTCGCTCACACTCGCCATCACCCACCCCTCGTGCGCCGTGCTGGCCTTCATAGGTGCTACTCGCTAGCAGCACTTGCCCCAAAAGTCTGTTATTGGCTACACGCGGGAGCTTTATCTTTGCTGTGTGTGTGGTAGTTGCTGCTCGGGCCACAGGCTGCTTGGGAAGGGCTTCACCCAGCAGTCGATAGATCATGGCTCACGATGACGACGATGGGTGTCTGGTAGTGGCGATATCACAGCTGGTGTAAGGCAGTGGATCGATGATGGCTCACGATGACGCGCCGGGTGTTCCCGCAGCTGGCGCTGCGTGCGGCCCCGGCGCTGGACGGGTTCCTGGCGGCGCTGACGGCGCGTGAGGGCGACCCCACGGGGCCCGAGTTCCGCGCGCAGCTGAACCGCGACCTGGACACGTACCTGGGCGCCATGCGGGCCCAGCTCGGGGCGCTCGACCACCTCTACGAGCAGAACCAGCTGGAGTCGGACCGCGTCGTGTGAGCGCCGTCGACAGCGCTGTCAGCTTAGACACAGCGCCTCCCACCTGGACCCCTGCTTCGACAGCGCCCGACAATATTACCATCGGCGCAGGATAATATCACAATCGGATCCGGATACTCTCACGATCATACCCGGATAATCTCACGATCAGACACAGATAATCTCACGATCAGACACAGATAATCTCACGATCAGACACAGATAATCTCACGATCAGCATCGGATAATCTCACGATCAGACACAGATAATCTCACGATCAGACACAGATAATCTCACGATCAGACACAGATAATCTCACGATCAGACACAGATAATCTCACGATCAGACACAGATAATCTCACGATCAGACCCAGATAATCTCACGATCAGACACAGATAATCTCACGATCAGACACAGATAATCTCACGATCAGACACAGATAATCTCACGATCAGACACAGATAATCTCACGATCAGACCCAGATAATCTCACGATCAGACACAGATAATCTCACGATCAGACACAGATAATCTCACGATCAGACACAGATAATCTCACGATCAGACACAGATAATCTCACGATCAGACACAGATAATCTCACGATCAGACACAGATAATCTCACGATCAGACACAGATAATCTCACGATCAGACACAGATAATCTCACGGTCAGACACAGATAATCTCACGATCAGACACAGATAATCTCACGATCAAACACAGATAATCTCACGATCAGACACAGATAATCTCACGATCAGACACAGATAATCTCACGATCAGACACAGATAATCTCACGATCAGACACAGATAATCTCACGATCAAACACAGATAATCTCACGATCAGACACAGATAATCTCACGATCAGACACAGATAATCTCACGATCAAACACAGATAATCTCACGATCAAACACAGATAATCTCACGATCAGACACAGATAATCTCACGATCAGACAGATAATCTCACGATCAAACACAGATAATCTCACGATCAAACACAGATAATCTCACGATCAAACACAGATAATCTCACGATCAAACACAGATAATCTCACGATCAGACACAGATAATCTCACGATCAAACACAGATAATCTCACGATCAAACACAGATAATCTCACGATCAGACACAGATAATCTCACGATCAGCATCGGATAATCTCACGATCGGCGCCAGCTAATGTCACGATCGGCACCGGCTGATCACACGATCAGCAAGGACCCAATTGACCATCAGCGCCGAATATTTTGTTTTTGCGCAATCGGCACCAGTGGTGTAACCAGTGGTGTAACCAGTGGTGTCACGCTTTGGGCGCCTTCACGAGCGCCATCGCCTCCCGCCGACCATTGGCGGCGGCAATATTTATTTATATATCTTGGCTCGGTTACTGAACGCAGCCACCAACTAGGCCCTAAGGGCAAGCGGCCAGCAACAAACGGCACCGTTCAATCTCCGGTGGGCAGCGCTGCCCCAACTTGGCAACCAACGTCATTGTAGTGCCCCTGTGACGTCATTGTAGTGCCCCTGTGACGGCATTGTAGTGCCCCTGTGACGTCATTGTAGTGCCCCTGTGACGTCATTGTAGTGCCCCTATGACGTCACTGTTGCGCCCCTGTGACGTCACTGTTGCGTCACACCAGGGTCGCAAACGGCTACCCGTACCCGGCCGGGTATGGGTATCGGGTAGGGTACGGGTATCGGGTACCCGATTGCGACCTCTGGTTAGCAGGGATGGTGGGCGGAGCCAATGGGGGTTGGTGGGCGGGGCCAGTGTGGGTGGTGGGTGGGGCCAGTGATGTGGTGGGCGGGGCCAATGGGGGTGGTGGGCGGGGCCAGTGGGGGTGGTGGGCGGGGCCAGTGATGTGGTGGGCGGGGCCAATGGGGGTGGTGGGCGGAGCCAGTGGGGTTGGTGGGCGGGGCCAGTGATGTGGTGGGCGGGGCCATTGGGGGTGGTGGGTGGGGCCAGTGATGTGGTGGGCGGAGCCAGCGGGGGTGGTGGGCGAGACCAGTGATGTGGTGGGCGGAGCCAGCGGGGGTGGTGGGCGGGGCCGGTTTCACGCCACCAGAATCCCCGTTGGAGCCGTAGGAGAATGTTGGAATGGTGCCGAACAGTGACGTGCGGTGAGGTCAGTGGCTGGGGAGGCACTGGCGAGTGTCAGAGCCAGATTCACACGCTGAGGGGGGCGTGTCTTAACTGAGGGGGCGTGTCTTAACTGAGGGGGGCGTGTCTTAACTGAGGGGGCGTGTCCTCTGAGGCAGATGTGATAGCTGCCTCCCCTGGTCCTTTTTCATTGCAGTTTCATGACGAGACCAGGGAGCCTAAATATCTTTATACACATGCGTGAAATAGGTTACCTGGAGTTTGAAAGGCGAGGACATGAAATGAGGGGGTCTACAAACATTACATTGGTGACATACTGAGATAGTAACAGACACGCGCTTACTGCCCGCGCTCCATCCAGTTACTGAGGGGTTGCGCAATCAGAGGGGAGGCTGAGCTCATCGCTGCCTCACCTCTCGTCTCTTCCTGTATTTGCAGCGGAGCTCCGCAAATTTGGCGATTTTGACGATAAAAATGATTGGAATCGTACAGAAATGGCATTTATAACACAGACCGGTGGAAAAATCTAAATATTTATTTTACTTGAGTATTCTTTTTACTTTTCGTAGCAGCTATTTTCATTGGAGTATGGCAGGTGAGGCTCTGCCTCCCCTGACCGCACGTCCCTGGTACCCTCTGCTCCGGCGAGGCCTGGATAAACCAGGGTGCTCCCCGCCCTCCCGTCGTTTAGCCGGCCCGTGGAGTGCCCTCACGAGGAGCAGTCCTGCCCGGCAAGCCGGCACGGCGGTGCTGCCGCGTGCGCTGTACACGGGCCTCATACTGCCGAGGAGACCCCTGGGGGGCGAAACCCGACCACGTGTTGCTGTGCCTCAACAGCCGTCTACAAACAACAAGGCGGGCCGTGGTTGGTGCAAGTTGGACGACGACGACAATTATTACTATGACGTTTACTTTGGTGGAAGGGTACACACCGGATATTTATTTATTATGTTATTTTATTGTTCATAAGAGGTTTGTTTTGGTTTTGGGTTAGATCGCGTAAATATATAAATGTGCCAGATGTGTGGCTGTGGCCTGATGAAGCTAGTTGTAATTACTGGCGAAACGTCGTACAGATTGGCTCTCCAACACACTACCGGTGGTGCTGTACTCGTATACTACACTATACACTACACACTAGTGCTGTACTAGTATACTACACTATACACTACACTATACACTACACACTAGTGCTGTACTCGTATACTACACTATACACTACACACTAGTGCTGTACTAGTATACTACACTATACACTACACACTAGTGCTGTACTAGTATACTACACTATACACTACACTACACACTACCGGTTAGTGCTGTACTAGTGACGAGCTGGCCACGTTCTGTTTACGTGACAACCCTTACTAGTTGGCTGTGTCGGGTGGTGGCGGGTTCTGGCGACACATATTTACGCGATTATATTGGTCACGTGATTATATTGGTCACGTGTTAAACTGACTATTTCATTATTACCAAAAGATGGACAGACTAGGAGGTGGACAACATTTGCCTTTGTCCATCACCCATTCAAATCGGTGGCACGATTGCTAATTGGAGCTGGTTGTCTTTTAAAAGCGGCCGGTGGGCCGTCCGCTGGGTCACGTGTGCAGGGGCTGCAGCTGACGTGGCCACAGCGGTCGGGGTGCACTGATGATGACGACGATGATGCCCATTGAGGAGTCACGTGCCAGGCAATGTGTTCTGCATTGGGACACTTTGACCAATACCGGGCACATTGTGTGGGGGGGGGGGGGGGTGTTTTTAGCTTTGGGAGGAAACCGGAGAACCCTGAGCGATCCGATGAGATCGCACGAGAGTTATTTATGGGACAATATGCGACGAGGGTTCTGTATGGCATGAGAACAGGAGGGTTCTGTATGGGATGAGACGATGGTTCTGTATGGCATGAGAACAGGAGGGTTCTGTATGGGACCAGGCGATGGTTCTGTATGGGATGAGAACAGGAGGGTTCTGTATGGGATGAGGCGAGGGTTCTGTATGGGATGAGAACAGGAGGGTTCTGTATGGGATGAGGCGAGGGTTCTGTATGGGATGAGAACAGGAGGGTTCTGTATGGGATGAGGCGAGGGTTCTGTATGGCATGAGAACAGGAGGGTTCTGTATGGGATGAGAACAGGAGGGTTCTGTATGGGATGAGAACACGATGGTTCTGTATGGGATGAGAACAGGAGGGTTCTGTATGGGATGAGACAGGAGGGTTCTGTATGGGACGAGACGATGGTTCTGTATGGGATGAGACGGGAGGGTTCTGTATCCGATGGTTTATATTTGACTAATTTTACACCGCCGCCTTTTCTCCGCTAAAAAAACCCAATATTCCCGTCTCGCGGTTTTACGACTCATCCGTCTGGGTTTTAATGAGATGATTCGTGGCCCAAATTCCTTTGCCAAAATAATTACCACGAGAATAACACGAGGGGTGGGGGGGGGGTGGCAACGGGCGGCCTCCCCGTGGATTAAACACGTGGTGGTGGTGGTGGTGTTTGTTGTGGTGCGTGATTGGTGGTGTATAATTTGTGAACGGTGCAATTACGGTACAAAAACATAATATATAATTTTAATAACAACGTCGTTGGCCGTCTCTGTTTACTTGTGTGCGCCTCTATATGTTTTATTTGTAGACGCGTGTGTGAGTGTAGATGTGTGTGTGTGTCTGTGTGTGTGTGTCTGTGTGAGTGTAGCTGCGTGTGTGTCTGTGTGTGGGGAGCGATAGTGTAGCGGTTAGCGCGCTGCGCTACGAACCTGGCGACCCGAGTTCGATTCCCGCTCACGGCCAACACCAGTGACGATTATCTGAACCGATCCTGGGCCTCCCTTAGGTCGACTCAGCCTCAAATGAGTATCTGGTGCGGTGCGTAGTAAACATCGTCAATGGGGAGACGAAGGCGGCCGGGCGTGGTGCTGGCCACCTACCACCTCGTGTGCCGGCTTTCATTGGTGCTCGCTAACAGCACTTGCCCCAACAGTAGGTTAAGTCTATACAGGGGTCTTTGTATATGTAGGGAGCAGTGGCGCAGTGGTTAGCACACCACCGTGAGGAATCCGGCGGCCTGAGTTGACCAGTGCGGTGTCGGAAAAAATAAAACCCATTCACCTCATTAATCCATCTTCTGGCTCATTCACACTCGCCAACTCATTCACCATCTCGCCCGCCCACCATCGCGCCCATTCACTCTCACCAACTCATGAATTCACCATCTCGCTCACCCACCATGTCACTCACCATCTCGCTCACCCACCCACCATCTCGCTCACCCACCATCTCACTCACCCACCATGTCACTCATTGACCCACCCACCATCTCACCCGCTATCTCACCCACCCACCATCTCACTCACCCACCATGTCACTCACCCACCCACCATCTCACTCACCCACAATCTCACTCACCCACCCACCATCTCAATCACCTACCATCTCACTCACCCACCATCTCACTCACCCACCCACCATCTCACTCACCCACCCACCATCTCACTCACCCACCATCTCACCCACCCACCATCTCACTCACCCACCATCTCACTCACCCACCATCTCACTCACCCACCCACCATCTCACTCACCCACAATCTCACTCACCCACCCACCATCTCACTCACCTACTATCTCACCCACCCACCATCTCACTCACCCACCATCTCACCCACCCACCATCTCACTCACCCACCATCTCACTCACCCACCCACCATCTCACTCACCTACCATCTCACTCACCCACCATCTCACTCACTCACCATCTCACTCACCCACTATCTCACCCACCCACTATCTCACCCACCCACCATCTCACTCACCCACCATCTCACTCACCCACCATCTCACTCACCCACAATCTCACTCACCCACCCACCATCTCACTCACCTACTATCTCACTCACCCACCATCTCACCCACCTACCAACTCACTCACCCACCATGTCACTCACCCACCATCTCATTCATTCACTCGCCATCCGGCCTACCCACCTATTCGCTCACTAATTCACTCCCCAACTGTCTGGTGGGGAGCGATGGCGCAGTGGTTCGTGTATTGTTAAATACGAATCCGGCGGCCCGAGTTGACTGGTGCAGTGTGGGGGGAAATAAAACCCAATCGCCTCATTCACCCACCATCTCACTCACCCACCCACCATCTCACTCACCCACCCACCATCTCACTCACCCACCATCTCACCCACCCACCATCTCACTCACCCACCATCTCACTCACCCACCATCTCACTCAACCACCCACCATCTCACTCACCCACAATCTCACTCACCCACCCACCATCTCACTCACCTATTATCTCACCCACCCACCATCTCACTCACCCACCATCTCACTCACCCACCCACCATCTCACTCACCATCTCACTCACCTACCATCTCACTCACCTACTATCTCACCCACCCACCATCTCACCCACCATCTCACTCACCCACCATCTCACTCACCCACAATCTCACTCACCCACAATCTCACTCACCCACCCACCATCTCACTCACCCACCATCTCACCCACCTACCAACTCACTCACCCACCATGTCACTCACCCACCATCTCATTCATTCACTCGCCATCCGGCCTACCCACCTATTCGCTCACTAATTCACTCCCCAACTGTCTGGTGGG